CCATATTGTGCACATGTCTATACTTGAAAATACCATTGAAAAAATTAAAAATAGTCAAGTTTGTTGTTGGCTGTTACTAAATAATATGAACTAAGTTCGTTTACACAAACTGTTTTATGTGCTACAGTGATAAGCGGCTTTTTGTAAGTTTTTAATTTATATATCGTACTATAGAATCTCGATTATCTGAAAGCTCTGTTATTYAGTTTTCTAAATATATATTATAATTCTAATATAATAATAAATCCAAAAAGTTTGGATAGTCGAGAATCTAGTATAGTACTTAAATCAACCTGGTATTAAATGTGGGCAATTATTTTCACAATTTTTTTGTGAAWTTACAATTATTTACTATTAAATGTCAAAATATAATAATTTTAGTTTCTCAATCCAAACAGCATATTATTTTAAATCTTTATAAAATATATCAGATGTCTATGCTTTGTTTTTTAATAACAATTTTAAGTTTTGATTAGAGATTTAAGAGGGGTGACAAATGGTGCTGGTAAAATATTCTGTCTGATCATTTAAATTCTAAACGTTAATAAATACAATTTTTGCTTCAATATTCAGTGGATTAAAATAAAGGTTGGCATCAGAGCTGGATTGGCTCAGCGACTTACCATGTCAAACTCTAGATGGGTTATTTCTCAAACATGAGGATGATACAACATTTTTGAATTGCATTTATCATGTTCTTTTTTAAGAAAACACAAATAAATTATGATACTCTTTGAAAAAACTAGTAATGAACATTTATCGTCAAGAGAATGACAAACAACCTATAGAGAGTCAAAATGTAATTAGTAAGTAATACCAAACAAGGTACTGATACCACAAACTAAGATATATTTTAATCTTTTAATGAGTTGAATAAAATATACATTCATTATTGTTACATTTAGTTTGWGACTTATTTACAAATCAATACACGATGATATCTTGTAACATTCAATGAGTGCGGCTCAACCAGTGATCCAGAAGGTGGAGTGTTAAGTAATTATTAAATTAAGATTATTTCTTATTGTAAATGCAAAATGGTAGTTTATTTGGTATAAGTTGATTTGATGTATTTGTACAAAGGGTGAAAGATTCTGTATTGCGGACTCTTTCAGAAATGGTATTCTTGTTCTACTTTTAATAGGCCATC